GACCTATATTTCAGTTTAGTAGGAAAATACTGATGCATTTTATAAACTTGTGAAAAAGAAAGTTGTATCCCTGCTTCATACCATGTACTGAATTCTAGAGACTTTAAATGTGAAAAATAAAAGATCAGGAGATCGGAGAGAAAATTAGATCGTGTTTTTACCTTGACTGTTCAAATAAATCTTTCTGAGCAGGCCAAGCACTCTGGAAGCTATGGGAGTTGACCTTACAGAAACTCTGGACAGTTATTTCAGTGTGCACATCAGAGCACACAGGGTTGGTTGCTGGAGGCCAGGGCAGTAGAAGAGCAAAGATCCTTTTTATCTGACAGCAAAGACATAACAGCCAATGCTGAGAAGAGGCAGGTAAGAGGAGTCTGTTTTGCCTGATCTGGCCTTGAGTCTTTGGGCTCAGATGATCTTTCTGCCTCTGCTTCTGCAGTAGCTGGTCCTCCAGATGCATCCCACTGACCAGGTCAGGCTCTACTTTTCTCCTGAGTGCTGTACAGTCGGTTGTTTTAAGGCTAGTGCAGCTATGTGTGAGTCACTGTTGGACTAGAGGCTTAAGGAGACACTAGATAATCAGGCACTATCACTTGGTATTACTCATCTGGTTAGAATTAAAAGCACCAACCTGAAAGTATATAAGCTGTACAGTATTTTTTTTTAAATATTTCTCATGTTTAGTCATTATAACCAAAACCTGGAAACAGCTGTGTTTCAACTTCTGGACACATTAGATGGGAGAAGAAAGGACCTTAATCTGTTACTTGCACACTCAGTCTGTTAGTAGATAAAATGTGTAAAGAGGACTGACGAGGTAGCTCAATGGGTAATGGTTGTTGCCTAGCCTGACGACCCAGTTTGAGCCCTGGTACACACATGATGGAAACAGAAAACCCTTTCATTCTTTCTTTGACTTTAATAATCATGTTTGCACTCCTGCCTCTGAAGAAATGGCCCAGCATGTTGATGTGTCCTCCAGACCCGTGACTCAGATGTGATAACACATCTGCAATTCCAACACTCAGGAGGCCAAGAGGATATAAATTCAGAGCCAGTTCATAAACTAGGCATATTCAGAGCTGGAGAGAGGGCTCAGCAGTTAAGAGTTCTGGCTGCTCTTCCTTAGGTCCTGAGTTCAATGCCCAGCAACCACCCGGCAGCTCACAACCATCTACAATGAGATCTGGTGCCCTCTTCTGGCCTGCAGGTATATATGCAGGCAGAATGCAGTATACATAATAAATAAAAATGCAAAACAAAAAACTAGGCATATCCAAATGTTCCTATAATCCCACCTGAGGCTGAGGCAGGAAAATTGCCACAAGTTTGAGAAACCAAACTACACAGTGAACTCAGGCCAGCCTTGCCTACAAAATGTCTCAAATAAACAAACATAAAATAATTCCAAAGCAACCAAACAAAACACAATAAACTACCACAGCAAGACCGAGTCTTGGTGGGCAGTAGTGGCACACACCTTTAATCCCAGGAGGTAGATCTCTGAGTTCAAGGCCAGCCTGGTCTACAAAGTGAGTTCTAGGAAAACACAAAGAAACCCTGTCTCAAAAGGAAAGGAAAAAGACCTGTCTCAATAAAAACAAAAGGCCCAGACTTCACACTGTTCCATCAGGGCCTGATAGGTGGAGCAGTAGGGTGTTGTTTTAGATAGAATGGCTTGCCTACTTCTCTGCTAAAGAACATAAATGCTTCCAGTTCTTTACCCCTACATTTAGTAAATGTGCATATTTCTAGTTCTTAAACTTAGGGATAGGAATTACTCAGGTAAATTTGTACTTCTGGTGTTTTCTATCAAACAGCTTTCTAGAGTCTGTAACCAACTGATCCACCAGTAAAGCAGTGTCTCTGTTTCTTTATATCTAAATCCTGTGGAGTAAAAGGATGCTCAACTTTTAATACAGTTTCTACTGTTAGTCCCACTTTGTTCGGGTGTTTTTGAGGCAGTTGGGTTTTTTTTTTCTTTCTTTTTTTTTGTGTGTTTTGTTTTGGTGTTTTGTTTTTTGGGGTTTTTGTTTTGTTTTGTTTTTCAAGATAGAGTTTTGCTGTGTAGCCCTAGCTGTCCTGAAACTAGCTCTTGTAGACCAGGTTGGCCTCAAACTCAAGAGATTCACCTGCCTCTGCCTTCCATTAAAGGTGCTGAAATTAAAGGTGTGCACCACCACAGCCCAGCAAGGAAGAGTCTTGTGTAGCCCAAGCTGTCCTGGACTGACCTATATAGTCAGGCTGGCCTTGAACTTGGAGTGGTCCTTCTTGCTGCCTTCTGAGTGTTGGGCTTACTTGGTGTGCACTGATGGGACTGATTGTATTTGTTTTTATACTCTTTTTGTTGTTTTTTTTAATATTTATTTATTTATTAATTATGTATACAATATTTTGTCTGTGTATATGTCTGCAGGCCAGAAGAGGGCACCAGACCTCATTACAGATGGTTGTGAGCCACCATGTGGTTGCCGGGAATTGAACTCAGGACCTTTGGAAGTGCAGGCAATGCTCTTAACCACTGAGCCATCTCTCCAGCCCCTACTCTTTTTGTTGTTGTTGTTGTTGTTTTATTTTGTTTGTTTTTCCGAGACAGGGTTTCTCTGTGAAACAGTCTAGGCTGTCCTGGAACTCACTCTGTAAGCCAGGCTGGCCTTGAATTTACAAAGATCTGCCCACCTCTGCCTCCCAAGTGCTGGGATTAAAGGCTTGTGCCACCATCACCCACCTTATACTCTCTTTATAGACAGACTCTAAATAGTCTCCTTGAGTGTAGTGATGCACGCCTTTAATCCCAGAATTTGGAAGGCAGAGGCGGGAGGATCTCAATGAGTTTGAGGCCAGCCTGAGTGAGTTCCAGGAAAGCCAGGGCTGTATCACAGAGAAACCCTGTCTTGGGGGGGTGGGGAGAAAAACAAAACCCCACCTCCTAGTGTGCTAGGGCAATTTGCTCCTTGTTTTGTGTGTGTGTGTTTGTAAATCAAAGGACAACTTGAGGGGACTGGTTCATATTGTCAGACTTGGTAACATATGCCTCTACCCACTGAGCCATCTTGCTAGCCCCTTCATTATGGTTTTTATATTTTATTTTTAAGAGGTTTTATTACACCTGTATTGTGTGTGTGTGTGCGTATCTGGGAACTGAACCTAGGGTTGCAGGAATACTAAGCAGTCTGTCACCTAACTATTACTTCCAGTGTTATGCCCAAATTCACAATCCCCGACAAGCCAACAAGGAAACCAAGAGTCCTGTATGTAAAAGCAAAGAGCCTTTATTTTAATCAAGTTTGCAAACTTGTCTCCCCGCATGTCCAACATATTGGAATAACTGGAGAGCCCCAGCTCAATTAGAATAGGGTTTTATAGTAGTAAAAGTGGGGGTGAGGAGTTTCTGAGGTTTTAAGACCCCTGATTGGCTGACTGTGCTCTGGCAGGTGTTTCTATTTACAGTGCTTGGGTGGGGGTCGGGTGATCTCAGCTTGTGGTTTCTCCTGCAGCCCGACTTAGTCTCAGGGTAAACTATTGAGGCTCCAGCCTCTATTGAAATTCATCGATGGCCAGAGTCCCAGGTGATAATGGTTGAAGGAAGACTTAGATTATCATGGCTGGCCCTCACACCAGCTCCCTTCACTTTTTTTTTTTTTAACTTTTTATTTATTATTTTCTGTGTGTTTTGTCTGCATATATAAATGCTTACCATGCAAGTGCCTGGTTGCTTATGGTGGCCAGAAGAGGGCATTAGATCCCCTAGATCTAATTGGAAATTGAACCTGTCTTTGAAAGAGTAGCGAGTGCTTTTATCGCTGAGTCACCTCTCCAGCCCCCGGGCATCTTTTTGTTTTCTAAGACGCAGTCTAAATTGCCCAAGTAGCCATTGAAGTCTATGTAGTCCACGTAAGCCTTGTGTGTGGCCTTGGGTAGCTGGAATTACAGCTTGTGCCACTAGGCCCGGCAGTTACTATAGTTCCTATGTAAGCGAATCACATTTCACATACAGTAAATATGGTATGGATGAATGGAGCACTTCAGTAAGATCAGATCAGTCCCCTAGTTCCTTCCAAGCTTGTAGAGTGACCTGACAATTATGTCCAATGCGAATTTAGACACTAGGTCTAGTTACTGGTGAATTTTAGCCTCAACTGGGTTTGCTGGGCTTCCAGAGCAGCCTCACCAACTCTGTTTGCCCCACCCATAGCTCATGATGGAACAGTCCAAGAAGTCCTCTCTCATGGTGGCCCGCAGTATTCTTAACAACAAGCTCATTAGCAAGAAGCTGGAGCGCTATCTGAAGGTGAGGCTAAAAGGTAAAGGCGCTGTTCAGCCCTGACCTCTTCTTGGGCCTGGTCCCCATACTGTCCCTGAGAATCCTTCCTCCTTTTAAGGTCTCCATTAATCTCTACAGGGTGAGAATCCTTTCACCGACAGCCCAGAGGAGGAGAAGGAGCAGGAGCAAGACGAGGTGGACAGTGGCGCTCTGGATGAGGGGGCACCAGGTGAAGCGACAGGGCTCTCAGAGAGCATGCCAGCACAGCCCCCCGTACCCCTGGAGCCTGCCCCAGAGACTGCAACACCGCCACCTCCACCGCCTCCAGAAGAGGAGGGCGCCGTGCCCCTGCTGGGCGGGGCGCTCCAGTGCCAGATCCGAGGGATCCCGGGTCTCGACGTGGAAGACGACGAGGAGGGCGGTGGGGGTGCTCCATAGCCCGTACCGAGAGCGGCAGGGCTCGCATGGCCGATGCTGGAAGCCCAGCCCAATAAAGTGCTTTCCCAACCCAGGTCTTCATTTGTGTTGCTCCTGAGTAGCGAGGGCGGGCCCTGGAAAGTGTCCAGAGACTAAGTGCGCTTGCGCGCGGGTGGACGCGCTAGAGCAGCTCACGCGTGCGCGAACCTGGATGCACTTGCGCACTAGCTTACCCTTGGGGCTCAACTCCAGAGCCTAGCAACCAGGAAGGCTAGGCGGGGCGGCTGGGGCGGGCTCAGTTGGAGACCAACCAATGGTAGTGCTAGGAGGAGGGACGTAGATCCTTCGTTTTCAGTAGCAGTCGGCACGTTGAACGCATGCGTTCCAAGGGACGCTAAGAAAAGGGTCTGCTGGCGGATCGCGGCGGAGACATGGAGCAAGGCTACGGAGGTTAGTACGGGCTACTGTGCACGCACGGGAGAAAGACTGACGCGCGGAGGTACGCGGGCCTAGCCGGCTGCCGGAACGCGCTCGCCGCAGCCCGCTCCTGCGGAGCGTCGGCCGGGACGCGCGCGCGGCGTTTATTGGGTCTCCACGCAGTCGCGTGGTAAGGCGGATGAGGCGCCGAGGCCGTGGCGGGTTTCTGGAGGCGCCTTGGGCCGGTTTCACCGCTCAAGCCTGGAGGATCTCGGCCCGGCCGGAACCCGATAACCCTGACGGTCTCAGTCCCGCCTTCTCTTCCAAAGACGCCACAAAATGGCGTCCCCAGGGGCGGGACTAGAGCGCGGGGGTGAGGTCGGGCCAGGGGCGCGGATGCCGTGGCGTCCGCGGGCGGAGTCCGGGCAATTCATCTGCAGCCGGCGGTTGCCGTTGAGCACGTGCCCTGGGCCTTGCCCTCCCAAAGCCCAGCGGTGAGACCCCTCGGAACAACCTAGCGGGGTCTCTGCAGTGTGCGCGGTGTGTGCTGCCCCTGGGAGGTGGACTCCTCCAAGGACCGGACATTGAGGGTCAGGTGCTGCATGGTTTTATGCAAAACCTGATGTTCTCCAACCAGGACTGCAGATTAGCCGTCCTTCTCCTCAAGTGTCACTTTACTAAGGGACTGGAGCGCTTAACTGTAACATTACGGTGGCCTACAGGGACCAAGGAATGGCCAAAGCGGAAACGTTGCCTTTCCTAACTTAAATTTTCGCATCTTTTTGCAGTTAGGCCTCATTTTTCGAGCGTTAATCTCTAGAATGTGAACATCCAGGGAGGCTTTTACTCTGGGCCGAAATTTACGTGAGAATGGGACTCGAAGTGGGCTCAGGGAGTTGTTGGCAACTTTCAGCTGCTGGAGAAAGGAAGGATCTTGAAATACCTGGAGCTGGACTTGGCAGAGACCTGAGGTGTGATGAGCACACGGACATAGTAGCACTCTTGACCGTTCGGATCCTAGCTGGGTCTTGCATTCTTAGCCTTTCCCACCAGATACCTGTCACAACCCTGCTTTAATGTTCCTCAGGTTAGGGAACTTCATGGTGACCCCACTTTCTACATACTCCGTTAAAATACTTACAGCCTCTCTTGTTTCCTCCTCTCACTGTTTGATGGCAACTAGAAAGACTAGTGTCTCACAGGGACACAGTTTGTACCAGGAGGTGGTTCACTTACTGTTACAAGGGCTGCTTGGTTAATGGGGTGAGGCAGGGACAGGAAGCCATAGCCTGCAGAGGCGCAAAGGCAAACTCTTCTGGAGCTTCGACTCTCTTAGCTGTTAGTTAGCAGTTAGGTTTGGCGTTACTTGTTGAATGCCTGTTCTGTCAAGGCATTGAAGGGACTTTGTTAACGGTAGGTGAGGGATAGTCTGGAGAGAGAAATAACGGTTCACTTTATCAAGGTGAGGTTGTTTGACACCAGGGACTGTGCCACTTTGGAAAACTGTGCTAGGCTGCAGGGGCACAAATGAAGAGAATATAATCCCCTCCCGTCCAAATGGGTGTTGTTTGTAGGGTAGGTAAGGAATGCTGAGGATCAAAAGCCCAGGACATGGTTAGTTACATGAAAGCCAACCCTACAGTGTATGCCACTAAATTCCCGACTTGTTTCTCAGTTATGTGGCGTTTCTGGCAGCAACCTGAGCTGTTTTTCCACTTATGTGGTGGCCAAACAAGGGGGGTGGGCGCTATGGCCTGATGCTGTGTAGCTGGTTCTGTGTCCTCCCATGTTTGGCTCCCTCATTTTTCTGCCTTGACCTCAGTTCAGCCAGGTCAAGTGTGATGATCTCCAACTGCAGGGTAGGTGGCATTGTCAGTTGCCACTTCTGACAAAGGAAAACCCTTTAGATTGTGGGAGATTCTCAGAGCCCACATTTTCTTGATGGCGGATAGAATCTTGACACATGATCTCTTCACAGGCTATGGGGCATGGAGTGCTGGACCTGCCAACACCCAGGGTAAGTGGTTTCTGCTTGGCGAGTTGAATCATAGGTTCCCCCACACTGGATGCCCCTTTGTAGTAGAAGCCAACATCTGCCTTCACCAGGGTAGCCTTGCCTTGCCTTCCTCCGGAAGACTAGTTAGTCTATTGTGTACTGCAAGGGAGCAGAGACTGGTTAATAAGTAGAATGTATCACTCCGCCCCCCTCTCACTACTCAGTTTTAAAATCTGGAATGAACTCAGTAGCCCTGGGTTTGGGCCCCCATAGCACTCATCCACCCCTATTAGTCTGTGTGTACAAATTGCACATTTCCTTTTTGGTATGTCGTGGAATGATTTTTGTTTTGGGGGTACTCTTCCTGTACCATTTAGAGAGATAAAACCTGTTTTTAACTCAAACACTTGTACAAAAACAGTGGACTGGATGTGTACTAAGTTTTTGTTTACCCTTGTTTTGAGTCTAGAACCTGCCCTACACTCTACCCCATTCCAAGGCACAAAGGCTTCCCCTTTTTTTCTTTTTCTCCAGTCGTGGGACATGTCCCTAGCACCTTTGGAGGCAAGCCACTTTTTATATCATTTTGTGTCCCAGGAGGTGGTCTCTAGGACACCCATGCCACATAATATGCTATTGTTCAGCTGGGACTGATTTTCCACTCGTGTCCTGTTGGTATGATTGGCTCCTGGTGAGAACTGGGCCATCTGAGATCTGGGCCAGACTGGCCTCTCAGTTGGCACTGTGGTGTAGGTCAGCATCCTGGGGTCTGCTGTTTACCTTCCTTTCCTTAGCTTTCAAGGGAGAAGTCAGGCCGGCCTGGGAGAGAAATGTTGATATGTTCTGTACCCGTTCTGTAAAACATGCTAAGGACCTCTGCCACACTGTCACAGCCTGTCCTCTGGTGAGGTGAGGTGGCAGCTGTCCCTAGGGGAGTTGTAATTCTGACACTGAAGCCCTTCTGTCTTGTTTCTCCTAAGGCACATACGGAAGCAGTGTGGCCAGCTGGCAAGGTAAGGCCTTCTGAAAGGGGTCTTGAGGGGGCAAGTGAAGCTCTGAGCAGCCACCCAGATGGGCTGAGGTACAGGTCCCCAGTTCCCATCCTGGCTGTGTACACACCTTTGTTGATGGCTAAAAGTTGCTGGGACCCTGGCTGCTGAGTATCAGTGCCAGAGCTAGGCTGTCCTGAGGGGGGAGTTTGAACTTGGAGAGGGATTGTGGGTGCAGTGCAGAAACTGCAGCTCTCAAATGTCTTTGTCAGTACCCCAAATTGTTAATCCAAGGCTCTTAGCCGCCTGACCCTGTTTAGGGAACAAATCCTACTGTCTTTAATGAAAGCCTATTAGTACAACACCTGTGGCCCCCCTATCTCTGGTCTTGATCACTTGTATATTGTGGTATGATGTTGGTGATTCTTTCCCTGCTAGACCAAGAGTGCTTCTGTGCACGATGTCATGGGCAGCCTCATGTCCTGAGGTCTGACATGGCTTCTCTTTCTTCTGATAGGTTATGACAACTACAGCTACTACAACGCCCAGAACACCAGTGTCTCTGCGGGAGCGCCTTACAGTTATGGCCCAGCCTCGTGGGAAGCCACCAAGGCCAGTGATGGTGGCCTGGCAGCTGGGAGCTCTGCCATGCATATGGCCTCTTTTGCACCAGAGCCATGCACTGACAATTCTGACTCGCTCATTGCCAAGATCAATCAGCGTTTGGACATGTTGTCCAAGGAAGGAGGCAGGGGTGGGACCAGCAGCGGTGGGGAGGGCATACAGGATCGAGACAGGTGATTAAACCTTTCCTGGTGGAATCACTTTCTGGCATCATGAGGTGGGAGTGGGTACCAACTCTTAGAAAGACGTCTTTCCTGTTCTTGTTTATTAGACAGCAGTTGGGCCCTGCAGGGAGTGGGGGTGCTGCAATAAGTCTTGAAGGCTAAACCGTTGGCTAATTTAGTTAATTCCAGACTCTGTCTTCATCTGGCAAGGGTTCATGCTCTTTCTTGTTAGCAATGTTTGGATGAGGTCTTGGGCTGTTTTGCCCTCTGAGCATTTAAATGGATACTGGGTGGTTTGGTTTTCTGTACTGAATCTAATGTAAAGTTAGGCTGAGGACTGATGATTGGGTGGCCTGGGTGGCTTAGCCAGTACCCTAGCTGCTCCTAACAGGTTGTATACTTCCCTTGCAGCTCCTTCCGCTTCCAGCCATATGAGCCCTATGACTCCAGGCCCTGTTTGCCTGAGCAGAATCCCTATCGCCCCAGCTACAGCTATGATTATGACTTTGACTTGGGGGCTGACCGCAATGGTAGCTTTGGTGGGACATTCAATGACTGTCGGGACCCAACACCAGAGCGGGGCTCCCTTGATGGCTTCATGAGGGGCCGGGGCCAGGGCCAGACCCGATTCCAGGACCGGAGCAACTCCAGCACTTTCATACGCAGTGATCCCTTCATGCCACCCTCGTCATCCTCGGAGCCCCTGCCTGCTGCATGGAATGAGCTGAACTACATGGGTGGGCGTGGTCTGGCTGGGCCCTCCACCAGCAGGCCACCTCCTTCCCTCTTCTCCCAGTCTATGGCCCCTGACTACAGCATGATGGGCATGCAGGGGGTGGGCGGTTTTGGTAGCACCATGCCTTATGGATGTGGCCGGTCCCAGACTCGGATACGGGATTGGGTAAGTTCACCAAGTTATGTCAGGCCTTCTTGCTTTTTCTTCCTGGCAGCTTTATTGAGGTAAAAGCTGTGTGCTTGCCTGTACTGTGTAATGATGCTCTTACTCCCCAGTGTGCCGTTCACTTTCACTCGGTTTAAACCACTTGGTTTTAGATCATCTCCATCAGTTCATCTGTCATGGAACAGGGAAGGCCTGGGTTGGCCTGGTGAATCACATGTGGCTGTGTATGTCTGGCTTCTTCAAGCATGACACTGACTCTGAACTTCAAATGCAGTATCGTTTGCTTTTTAAGGCTTTTCCTGCCTGTGTTCTCTATTCTTACAAACTTTGATCTCATCTGTGGGGCACTTACTGACCCAGGTTAGCGGTACATGGCATGTGCTTGTATCTGTAGCCCAGAAGGAGAGGGTTTGAGCGCTTTGGACCGGACAGCATGGGCAGGAAGCGAAAGCAGTTTCCATTGTATGAAGAGCCTGATGCCAAATTGGCCCGAGCTGACAGCGAAGGAGATTTATCTGAAAACGGTATGCTCTGGGGACCACTGGGCCGGGTAGGTGCAACATGAGTAAGTTGCCTGATCAGGACTTGATGTGGCATTGTTTGCTGGCATTTTGTCCCCTGTAGTCAGTCTGGTCAGTGAGCTTGGGAGCATGATTATGCTCTGGGGGCCACCACCTAGGGGCTAACACTTCTGTTGCCTATGTCTGGCAGATGATGGAGCTGGTGACCTACGGTCAGGAGATGAAGAATTCAGGGGGGTAAGTTCACCACAGATTCTTTGTCTCTGGGGTTTCTTCTGTCCTTTATCTTTCTTCTTCACAGAGATGAAAATAGCTGTCTTGATAGACTCAACCACACAACTGCCTATCTCTTGGGAGCACCCTGTAGCAATTGCTTCTCTCTCCCTCCCTCCCTCCTCCTCTCATACATTACATCCCAACCAGTTGTCCCCCTCCCTACTTTTCCTCTTCCCCAGAAAAAGCTCCCAAATCCTTCCTCTTGCCTTACTGTGTTGAATCTAGCCATCAGCCTTCTCATTGTAGGACTCTGTAGGGTGCCTCTGGCCCTGTCTGCGGCCTATTGTCCTGATAGCCAGTCACTGGGGAGTGGCTGCAAAGGCCAGTTCTCAGGCCACACTACATTTCTGAGGAGGATAATTTTCTTTCTCCCTGTATATGGAGTTAGAAAATTTCTTCTAGGTACTTCTGGCAGTCAGGTGAAGAGAAGGGTGAGGGTGGGCTAACAGGTCTTCAATAGCTTTTCTCTTCTGGGTGGCAGGAAATGGAATCCAGAGCTTAAAAGAGTGCCCTTCAAGTGCTCGGTCGCTCTCCATCTGGCTCTGCCAACAACCTTGATGCTTCTGTGAGAGTCTTGCTTGTTCCCCGTTCAGCTGACTTAGCTGTTGATGTTGGAAGTCTCTGCACATCTCTTGTCCAAAGCATTGACTGCTTAGATAATCATAGGATCTGTCTTTATCCTAATTTGTTAGAGTGCTAAATACACTTGGAAATTTGGGAAAGCCTATTTCCAATCAGTGTTGAAATTAGAATAATACAAACCCAGAGCTGCTTCTCCTACTAGTGGATGTGCTCCTGTTCTGTAGTACAGGACTATATGGGATTTGCTGCTGCCACCCCCCCCACACACACACACACACTCACACACTCCCCCAGAGGCAGGTTCTATCACTTTGGAGAGAACCAAGTGAGTGATTTGGTAGTCTTTTTTATAGTCTTTTTTTTTTAATAGTATATTATTTCATGTCATGTGTATAAGTGTTTTGCCTGCATGCCTGTAAGCACACCATGTGCATGCCTAATGCATCCTGAGGTCAGGGGTGTTAGATGTCCAGATGTTCATGAGCCACCATGTGGCTTCTGGGGATTGAACCCAGGTCTTCTCCAAGAGCAACAAGTTGGAGCCAACTCTCCAAGCCCCCTTTGTAGTCTTCTAGTGGCAGTGAATCATAAAAGGGCACTTGGGCTCTGCTCTATGGCCCTGAGGTTTCCCTTATACTGCCTCATTTTCCAGCACCATAGTAAGCCAAGGTCTGTGGTGAGACCACACACTAGGTATTAGGGCCTAGGCTACTTAATAGAGAATTTTGGAACTTCCACCTCACTGCCTGACATTGCATTTACCTTTTTTAGGAGGATGAATTCTGTGACTCCAGGAAACAAAGAGGTAGGCATCACCCAGTATCCTTTGCAGCCTTCCTCTGTCTGACCGCACACTCACTGCCAAGCTCCATTGCATGGTAGAGGAGTTGCAGCTGTGCAGTGGGTCTACACTGTGGGAACCACCCCCAAAGCTTTGCTCCAGTCTTTGGGACAGGATTTGCTTAAAAGTTCATTTGCCTCAGTGGATATAGATATAGGTTGTAGGAACTGGGGAGCCCATCTCTGGGTATCACCAGATACCCATGGTAGGAGAGTGTGTTTCCAAAATCTGAAGAGAAAGAGGCCCCTTTTTTTTTTATTCCTTCCCATACTCTGGCCCATCTTTGCTGTTCCCACCATCTAGTTTTTTGGGTTTTTTTTGTTGTTGTTGTTGTTGTTTTATTTTGTTTTGCTTGTTTTTGTTCTCAATCACGAGCCTCAGTCTATGCCTTGGCCTTTGCCAGAAATACTGGCAGCTTTGATTGTGTGGACAGAGAACAAATACCTGCTGTGGTTGGTCTTGAGGTTGCAAGGGTGACCTGTAAGGTGCTCTCAGCCCAGATCTCAAAAGCAGTTACCAAGAACAGGTCTTGTCGGTTATAGGGCAAGAGACCCAAGAGCCCAACAAGGTTATACCGCTAGGGTGACTTGGAGAAGCCGCCTGCACTGCAAGGCCTTAGGTTCACTCTGCAGCCACTTGGTCTTTCTCCATGTTCTTGTGGGCCTGTCCTAGCTGGTTTCCCTCCAGGATCACAGGCTGGCCTTCACCCCTTATGATGTGCAGGCCCTTGGCTCCTTTAAGGTTCTTGAGTTAACTATTCTTCAGATTTCCCCACCCCGCACAGCACTGGATTCCTCCCCAGCATTCAGCAGATCATGCAGCCGGGTAAATGCTAAAGCAAAGGTGACATGTTTGTTGCGCACAGGTCCTGCTACCCAACCGGGATGACTATGCTATTAAACAGCAGTCATAGTTTCAGGCAGTGACCTCTTGCCAAAAGTCCCACACGTCCTTTTGAGAGGCTTCTGAGCAGCGCACGCCGGTCGCCATCTTCGTGGGACAGTCTCGGGACTGGCATCAGGGGTAGGGGTTACAGTTCAGATGCTTATACAACCTTTTTTTAGCATCCAGCCCTGACCCTGAGCCTGGGGATCTGGCGTGGTCTCATGCTGAGATACTGGCCACAGGGCTCTCCTGGGAGCTATGCCAGCCCCGGGGAATGGATGGGAGGACCAATTGGTCTCTTCCCATTTTTGTTTCTAGGATTGCTTCCCACTCAGCCTTGGGAAAGTCCAAGGTTGTTGGTTTTGTGAGTGGAAGATAGAGATCGGGCCAGCAAGGACTGTCAGACCTGCTGAGTCCTTAGTTCAGGTGAGGCCAACTGGATGGTCACCACAGCCCACCTAGAGGTGGGATGGAGGGCAGCAGTGTAGATTTATTTCCTGAGGCCTTCAACTGTTGCCTCTGTGGGGATATTTGCTGCTCTTTGAGTGACATGGGAGAAGACCCAACAACAGAGTGCTATCTTGGACAAGTAGGCTAGGACAGAGCAGAGTAGGCGGCCATGAGTGGGATGGGCCTCTGCCCATCAGGCCATGGGAGGAGTGAGGCAACTCCTCTGGGTTCTCATCAAAGGTCCTGGTACATAGGAGCCTCTAACAGCTCCTCAGTGCCTTGGGGTCCTGGCTCTGCCACAAAAGAAATGGAAGATGGGCACAAGGTGTGGCTGCCAAGCTGCAGCATCCAACTTGGCCCTGGAGCCGACCTTGCCTTGTAGGCTCCTCAGTGTCTCGAGGGGACTTTTCTGTTACAGGAGAAAAGGAGGATGAAGACGAGGATGTGAAGAAAAGACGGGAGAAGCAAAGGAGGAGAGACAGGATGCGGGACCGAGCAGCTGACAGGTAACATCTGACAGGCCAGTGAGGCAAATTGACAGACAGGCTAGGTAAAAGAATCTGGGCACTGTCTGCCTCCCCAAGCTTACCTGTCCTCCCTCTGTAATGCTTAGGAGTTTGGTTTGATGTAACTTCGGCTATCAAGAACTCTTAGCCAGATTATTGAGAGGTACAACTTAGAGAAGTGTGTGAAAAGTGCATGTAGTTAGCTTTCTGGTTTTGCTTCAAGAATCCACCTCGGAGACCACCATCCTTCCTCACTATTGAGATTAGAGCCTTTATGCTAGGACTGTGAGGGTCAAATGTGCCCATCAGCAGGCCGAAGGGATGCCCAGTCCTGTCTGCTGGCTTGGCATTCAGCCTCCCAGGAAGTGACCTTCATTAGACAGGGGTGGCAGAAGGAGGATGTCTTGGTTCTCTGTCCAAATCTAGTCAATCTCTGGAATTCAACAGAGTGAGAATATATGTGTATGAGATTCTGCTGGCCAAATTTGTCTCAGAATAGAAGAATGGTAAAATGCCAGACCCCCATAGAGTGCTGTTGTAATACACCATGGGTCTGTCTGTCATGATTCATTGATTAAGCAGCTACTGGATGGAAATCAGAGTCGCTGCATTAGTGTTTGTTACTTCTTACATGACAGGTGCTCTTACCTACAGAGCCATCTCCCCAGACCAAATGATTTCTTAAATTTATTATTTATTGCAGGGTAGGGCATGTGTTTATGCAGAGGGGGGTGTGTGTGTGTGTGTGTGTGTGTGTACACGTACATCTGCCACAGCATGCTTATGAAGGTGAAAGAACAGCTTGTATGGTTCTCTTTCCATCCTGTAGTTTCCTGCAGATCCACGCGAGTCTTTTAAGCTTGGTTTCAAGTGCCTTTACTCATTGAGCAATTTCTCCAAACTGTCCTTGGTCTTAAGGCTCAGGTACTACCATAATTTTCCTGTGCAGAGAAATGCTAACAGTAGAAACTAGGAATCGACAAAACACAAAATCATCTTTTCCTAGAAGTTCACCAAAACCTTTGATTTGGGTTGGTACAATGGGTAAAGACAGTTGTTCCACACCAGTTGCCTGAGTTTGATTTCTGGGATCCACCTGGTAGGAGAAAGCCAGCTCTCACAGATTGTCCTCTGACCTCTGCACAAACACATGCTCCACTTCCCAATAAATGAAATTTTTAAAAAGTCATTTGGTCTGGGGTGATGGTTCTGTAGGTAGGTGCACTTGCTATGTAAGCATAAGGACCTAAATTTAAATCCCCAGCACCTACAAGAAAAGCCCAACATAGCCATGTACATCTGTAGCTCAACACTTGGGGGGGGTGCTGAGACAGGATGATCACAGGGGTTTGCTGGCTGATAGCCTAGCTCCAGGTTCAGTGAGAGACCCTGTCTGAAAGGAATGAGGTAGAGAGTGATAGAGCAGGCCATCTAGCCTCTTGTTGGTTGTGCACCTACACACATAAGCGGGCAGATGTATACACCCCTTGATTCCTAAATGATGAGAAGGTTTGGGTGTCTTCATGCCAGAGGGAGAGGTGACATTTTTGTTGGGGGTGGAACCCAATGCATGCCAAGTAAATGCTGTAATAACTGAATTGCATCTGTGACCTCACATCTTCAATTTTTTTGTTTTGTTCTGTTTTTAATTTTCTATCTCAGCACTAATGACCAAGGATTTCAAAGAAGTTTAAGATTGTCAGAGAGATCTAGGCATGGTGGTGCACATCTTTAATCCCAGCAGTTGGGAGGCAGAGGCAGGCAAGGACAGTCAAGGATACACAAAGGGAAACCCTGTCTGGGAGGAGGGCGTGTCAGAGAGCCCCCACAACTTTTAGGAGTTCTTTTTGGCCCGGAACAGCTGGTATGCTACTGATGAAATAGTTTTTAGAAAATATTTGCAAGACTGTACACTCTTCAGACAGGGACCTACAGTCATTTCTGTTTCCTAGCATGGTTTATTGCTCAGCATCTAAGAGACAGGCTGGGAGACGCTCTCTTTGAACTCCCTTAAGGACAGGAAGAATCCTGTTTTCCTTTTGCATTTCTGTACTCAGAGAAGAGCTAGTGATCCCTTTCCTTGTATTACCACTCCTTTCCATGTTGCCTTTCTAGGATTCAGTTTGCATGTTCTGTATGCAAGTTTCGTAGCTTTGAAGATGAAGAAATCCAAAAGCATCTGCAAAGCAAATTTCACAAAGAGACATTGCGGTTTATAAGTACCAAATTGCCTGACAAGACAGTGGAGTTCCTCCAGGTAAAGGATGCTGCAGTCTTCATAGAAAGCCCTGCCAGCATTAGGAACCTGCAGAGGGTTATGGGGATGCGAGGTCTAAACATAATTCAATTCTTTCCCAAAATTGAAACTATTGTATGTGTTCCTGTGTCACAGAGTGATAATAGTTCTAACCACAGCGGGTTTTGCTCATGGAGCTGCCACACTAGCATCTTCTCATCCTTTGTGTAGTCAAGAAATGTTCAGATAGTGTGTTCTCATTTCATTTGGTGGCATCTCTCCATCCTTCCAGGAGTACATCATAAACAGGAATAAGAAAATTGAGAAGCGGCGCCAGGAATTGTTGGAGAAGGAAAGCCCTAAACCCAAACCAGATCCATTCAAAGGTCAGTTGTTATCCCAGTGTCCAGGTTATTCTGGATGCTTTTTTTAGAGGACTTGGGTTTGATTCCAGTTATCACACAGCTCACAACTGTCTGTGGCTCCAGTCCTAAGATCCAGTGCCCTCTTTCGGTTTCTGTACATAGACATGCATATAGACAGAATGCCTGTACACATAAAATAAATAGATTGAAGAAGAAGAAAAATAGACAGTACAGAGGCTTGAACAACTCTTCTGTGTTGCAGTACTTAGCTAGCCTGCTTGTGGCCTGGAATTATTTAATCCTTACACCATAAAAAAAAACCAGTCCAGGAGCTGAAGAAATGCCTTGGCATTCAGAGCACTGGCTGATCTCCTAGCTGTACTCCAGTTCTTCTGGCCTTCTTGGGCAACAGGCACACATGTGGTCAATAGACATATGTGCAAGCAAAATGCAAGTCTTTTAAAAATTTTTAAAAAAAAATAAAATACAACGCAGTGCCAGCCTAGGACTACCAAGAATGTGAAGCCAAGTCCTGTGGGGAAAGCACGGGGTGGAAAGAAGCCCTGGGTACAGTGAAACAACAAAGCTGCATAGCCTCTCATCAGAGCGATGTGAAACAAGCCAATGTCGACAGCTGGAAGAGTGAGGTGTGGGCACAGTGGGGCAGGTCTCCTGCAGGAATATCTAGGAGAGTGAGTTCCAGCCTCTCACCTTCTGTCTTCATGATGACTTCAGAGGGTGGGGGGACGGGGGACAGTGTGGACCTTGCTGGGAAGGAGGAAGAGAACTGCTTATGGGTTCCATTCCAGGAATTGGCCAGGAGCATTTCTTCAAGAAGATTGAAGCTGCACACTGCATGGCCTGTGACATGCTGATTCCTGCACAGCACCAGCTCCTCCAGCGGCATCTGCACTCTGTGGACCATAACCATAACCGAAGAGTAAGTCAGACTGGCTCCTTGAGTGACCGACTATTGATGTCCCAGGAGTGCTACAGTACTAGCAGGTCCTCAGTGAGCCTGTCGGCTTACTGTGTCCATCACTCCCAATTCTATTAAAATGCAAGTTGAAATGTAACTGTTACTCCCACCTACGTGGAGGAGGCTGAGTTGAGAGGCAGGCTTTTTTTTTTTTAATATTAATTTATTATGTATACAATATTCTGTCTGTGTGTATGCCTGCAGGCCAGAAGAGGGCACCAGACCCCATTACAGGTGGTTGTGAGCCACCATGTGATTGCTGGGAACTGAACTCAGGACCTTTGGAAAAGCAAGCAATGCTCTTAACTGAGGGGCGCATCCTGACCAGCAGGAATGAACGCCACCAAAAACGAGAATTCCTTCTCTGGTCACATCTTTATTTGGAGCCCTTTGATTGAGGAAAATTGGGGGAAGGGAAGATAGAGCAGGGACGAGAGAAAGCTTAGAGAGAGAGCGTTGGGCCCCGAGGCAGCTGCTTTTAAACGGTGGAGAGGCTTGAACACTGTCCTGATTGGTTAATGCCATTCTGCTGGTCTGAGCATGTGCAAGCAAGGGTGCAGGCAAGGGTGCTCAGCCCCACATGGCTAAGCCAGGTATACCTCCAAACTGCAGGACCACCTGTGCCTCCAGGTGGCTCCCAACACTTAACCTCTGAGCCATCTCTCCAGCCCCGAGAGGCAGGCTTTTATTCTCTCTTGTTTGTTTTCTCTCTCGTTTCAGACAGGTTCTCACGGTAACCACCAGCTGACCAGGAACTCAAAGACCCACCTGTCTCTGCCTCCCAGGAATTAACAGTATATGTCTCCACATCCATCCTTGCCTTATTTCGAGATGGGGTGTGGGGTAGAAACTTGGTGACTAGATTGCTTGTAACTGAAATTCTGAATTGAAACTGGGTTTCTGTAAGGTGAGGCCAAGGGCCATTCAGAACTCAGTGGCCTGGGGGACCAACCTGGGTTTTGGTACTGGTTTGGTTTTTCCTTGATGATGAAGCTGAGTCTAAAGACAAGGTTTAAACCAGGGGTTAGCAAGGTTTTGTTGCTGCTGTTGTTTCTTTCATAAAATATCTGATTGTAAATACAGTTTGCCTTCATCTGTGAGTTCCACAGTCACAGATTGAACTAATGGAGGATTGAAAGCATGTGGTAGAGGAATTGTAACTGTACTGAACACACTGCAATTCTTTAATGTTCCCCAGCCAATACCTTACCATAGCTGATAGCATAGGCTTACAAGTCATCTAAAATACAGGGAGGATATGCATAGATCCTGTATAAACACCAAAACCATTTTATAGGACATTTGGATGTCCTTTTAGTTTGTTACCTGAAGGGGCCATGAAATCAGTTCCCTGTAGTTAGAATGCTCTGGGTCCAGAGGTCTGTGCTGTGCGGCACAACTGCTTTAGATAGGCGGAAGCAACCACAGTTGATAGAGTGGGTATGGCTACATTGCTGACCACTAGGTTAGCTTGTCAATCAAGATAGAGTACCAAGGCTGGGTCGTGGTGGCGCACACTTTTAATCCCAAAACTCAAGAGGCAGAGGCAGGCAGATTTCTGTGAGTTTGAGGCCAGCCTGGTCTACAAGAGCTAGTTCCAGGACAGGCTCCAAAGCTACAGAGAAACTGTAGCTCAAAAAACCAAAAAGGAAAAAAAGTACCAGTGGTTGCCTACCCTTCTCTTAGTGCTTTGTGGTGTTTTTGTTTTGGTTTTTCAAGACAGGGTATCTCTATATAACAGCCTTAACTGTTTTGGAACTAACTCTGTAGTCCAGGCTGGCCTCAAACTCAGAGATCCACCTGCCTCTGCCTCCCAAGTGCTGGGACCAAAGGTGTGTGCCACGACTGCCCAGCCTAGTCTCATTTCTTAACTGTGATAAAATAGCCCAACCAGGGACACCCTGAGAACACAGCCCACAGAATCAATTGACCAGGACTCATGGGGGCTCTCAGAGATCAGAGAACCTTCAATGGATCTGAACTAGGTCCTCTGCATATATGTTATGACTGGATAGCTTGATGTTCTTGTGGGATTCCTAACAGTGGGAGCAGGGCAGTCACTAACCCTTTTGCCTGTTTATGGGACCCGGGACCTTTTTCCTTCTACTGAGTTACCTTGGCTAGTAGTGGTACATGCTTAGTACATAATACCGTAGCATTATGCCCTGTCTGATTGATGTCCCTGGGATGCCTGCTCTTTCTTGAGAGAAGACGGGATTGGGGCGGGCATGGATCTGGAAGAGGGGAGGGAAAACCGTAGTTGGGGTGTAATATATGATTTAAAAAAATACCCTGACCGTAAGCAACTTAGTGAACAAAGGGTTTACAATTCCAGGTTATAGTACATCATTTCGAGGAAGCCCAGGTGGAGCCTGGAGATTAGAGAGAATGGATGCATGCGTGCTTAGTGCTCAGCTGGTTCTTTTTGGTTCTTTTTCTTACGTAGTCCAGGAGTTGGTGCTACCCCCTGACTCAAGCCAGCCTGATCTAGACAGTACAGCATTGAGACTTTCTTCCAGTTGATTGGGTGTGTCAAGGTGACAGTTAAAGTAGCCATCACACATACTGGCTAGTTTCTGGTTTCTTTTGGCTATTTTACAAAGCCTACTTTTGGTTGTCTTTTGCAGTTGGCTGCTGAGCAGTTCAAGAAAACAAGTCTCCATGTGGCTAAGAGTGTTTTGAACAACAAACATATAGTGAAGATGCTGGAAAAATACCTCAAGGTTTGTATTTGTGACTCTAGTGAGCCAGAAAAGCCTTGTGGGGGTGGAAGATTTGTATGGAATGTAGCCAGAGTACAGTGACCAGCATTTCTGAATTTTTACTATTTATTTGTTTGTTTATATATTTATTTGAGTTTTGAGGTTTTGTTTTATTTCCTTCAGGACAGGATTTCTCTGTGTAACGGCCTTGGCTGTCCTAGACCTAGCTCTGTAGACCAGGCACGTGTCACCATACCTGGCTAGCATTTCTGAATTTTGAAAAAAATTTGAAGGAAATTAAAACACTTGAGGGCTGGCCAGGTGATGGTGGCGCACACCTTTAATCTCAGCACTTGGGACGCAGAGACAAGGCATATCTCTGAGTTCGAGACCAGCTTGATCTGTTGAGTAAGTTCCAGGACAGACACCAAAGCTACAAAGAAACCTTGTCTTGAAAAACTAAGGGGGAAAAAAAGAAAGAAAAATATCAGGAGTGCTGGATCTGTGACAATGGCGTTTCTAGAGACTTGGTGCTTGCCGGTCTGTGAATGGGGATCTGGTGCTGTTTAGTAGGTGGCTACATCATGCCATGCAAACACCAGAGAAATCCGTGGTTGTCTAGCTGTGAAGTACTGAGCAGATACTGATGGTGTGCTTTGTATAAAGCATCCAAGCTGGGTGCAGTGACACATGCCTGTCTGTCGTCCTGGCTTCCCTGGAGCCAAGGAAGGCCTGGTCTCAAAACAATGAAATAAACTACAAATGAAGTGAAAAGTGCTTAAAAATGTGGTGGCATATACGCGAAGTACTAGCCCTTGGGAACCAGATGCAAGAGGATTACTGAATTTGAGGCCAGCCAGTGCTGTTACACCAGGCTGAAACTGTAGATAGGGTCTCCGGGTGGCACTAGCACTTGTTTAGCATGTGTAATAACTAGGATTTCATCCTCGACACTCCCTTCCCAAAATGTGCATGGCGATTAACAAATAAGGGGCCATGAATTTGAGGACAGAGGGAAACATGGGAAGAGTTGGAGCAAGGAGAGGGCAAATGGTATAAGTACAGTACTTCTCTGTGTGCGTGAAGTTCTCGATAAATAAAAGTAATCAGAGCTGAAAGCTGCAGTATGCTGCTTTGCAGACTCTTACTCAAAACAAGAGCTCCTCACAAACTCTGGGCCTCTGGCTCTAGCACTGATTTGTGTTTCCTCTTTGTTCAGGGTGAGGATCCTTTTGCCAATGAAACAGTCGATCTTGAGACAGAAGGAGATGACAATGTTGGAGGGAAGGAAGAGACTCCAGAGGAAGTAGCTGCAGAAGTCTTAGCAGAGGTGATTACAGCAGCAGTGAGAGCTGTAGAAGGGGAAGGAGAGCCAGCTGCAGAGAGTAATGAAGTTCTAGCTGAAGAGGAAGGCCCTGTGGACACAGCAGGGACCAGTAGTGACCCCCACACTGAAAAGTCGCTGGAAGAGCAGACCTGTGAAACAGCATCTGAAAATAGGAACACTGAAGACAGGGCTCAAAGCGAGGCCACTGAGGCCAGAAATGAAGCATTCATAGTGGCCACAGAGAGCACCATACCTGTTACAGCTATCCCAGGAATCATGGACGATGAAATGGAGCAAACTGATGCAGACTCTAAAGATACCCCCACGGAATGACCTCTTTCTCCCTGTTCAAAGGGATGTATTCTATTCTCTCTTTGATTTATAAGCAGTACTAGGGTGTGTGTTACTTGGTGGAAAGACTCAGCCATTTCCTTCCCAGTGTACCTCAAGGGCTGATGCTGTACAGTGGATGGCTTCCCACCTCTGTTAGAATACGAAGAGGTAAACATTTTCCCAAGTGGCCTTTGGCTGTCTGCACTGCAGTTAGACTAATAAAGTAGATCTTCCTGATGCTTGGTAAATCAGCAACTGACAGAATGTGGGGTTTTGTTTTGTGGTTTTTGTTTTTTGCTTGGGAAACAGCTTGATGATAAGAATATAACTTGTTCAAGTTTTTTTGTTTTTGTTTTTAATTTTTTAGGGGGATTCACTTATTTACCTTCATGGTATGTGGGACATAATGGTTCAACCATCCATGTGGGTGAGAGCTTCTCAAGACACTGTAGACCAGGCTGGAACTCACAGAGATCTGCCTGTCTGTCTCCTGCGTGCTGGGATTAAAGGTGTGCACAGCTATTGCTTGGCCCACACTGACCTCAGAACTCAATCCTCCTGTCTCAGCCCTGGAATACTGGGACTGTGTGTATACAGCCATGGCCATCTGGATTTTGGTTGTTATAATGCGCTGTATTATATTATGTTCCGTCTCTTGTCATATCACAGCATTGGCCTTGGCCTGTGCATGAGGTCTGAGAAAGCCCCTGGAGCTTTCCATAGGCTGTGCGTGCTGATCAGTTTCATGTTTTGCCTTTTTTGGGGGGTGGGGGGTCGAGACCAGGTTTCTCTGTAGCTTTGAAGCCTGTCCTGGAACTCGCTCTTGTAGACCAGGCTGGCCTTGAACTCACAGAGATCCACCTGCTGCCTCTGCTATCCCAGTGCTGGGATTAAAGGCATGTGCCACCACTGCCCGGGTCATGTTTTGCCTCTTTGTGTTCCATCTCACCATTAATGCAGGATGTTAGTTTTGTTACCTCTTAAATTCCGTTATTCCCACATACAAGTTTTTAGGGAAGAAAGCATGAAATTATCCCATTGATGGAAAACACATAAATTCCCATAGATGGGCTCTAACTTTAAAAGCTCATACAATTAATGAAGATGTTTCCATTCCAAGCAAGTAGTATTCCTTTGGTAGTTCTGAATCTGAAAAATGAAGGCTTAGTGTGCCTTTAAGGTAGCACGAACCAAGTTTTTATAGGATCAGAATAATTTTTTTTTTCCTTTTGAAATTACAATGCTGTTTCCATCCTTGGACAGTACACAGCTCACATCTTGGAAACATCAGCCAGTGGTGATTATTAATTATAAAAGAGGCAATAGAATACTGTAGAATTTCATCAGCACTTCTGTCAAGGAGCATTATTGGGATATGAGATGAACTTTAATGGGAATATCAATGTCAAAACTTAATAAGCAATAAAGCAATGCTACTAAAACATTTCTGTTCATTGCTGCTTAGATGTGGTCTGAAGAGTGTGTTTGTTCTGGGAATGGAACCAAGGGCCTCATGGCAAGCGGCATTTATTTTTCTTACATTTACTTATTTAGTGTGTGCACATGAATATACCATGGTGTGTACATGGATTGCAGAGGACTGTAACATGGGAGGGCTGCTTGTTTGTGTTTTCGTCCCTGCCTGGTACCCCACAGCTGGCAGGCCCCAGAGAAAATCAACCACAGAACTCTGTAAGTTATAAAGCTGATTGGCCCTTTAGGTCAGGCTACTTATTAGCTAACTCTCTCATCTTGATTAACCCATTTTTCTGATCTATGTTAGCCATGTGGCTCAGTACCTTTTTCAGTGGGGCAGCTCACATCCTGCTGCTTCAGTGATCTGGTCAGGAGTGCGAGGAAACAACTTCCTCCTCCCCAGAATGCTCCTGCTCTCCTTGCATCATTTCCACTTCCTGTCTTTTTCCTGCCTATACCTCCTGCCTGGCCAATCAGCGTTTATTTAAAACATGATTGACAGAATGCAGACAATTCTCCCACACCAGAGGACTGCTTGTGGGAGACTCCCACCGCGAGTGGGCCCCAGGGATCCAACTCCTGTCATCAGGTTGGGCAGCCGGAACCCTCAACTGATTAGCCGTTTCTCCAGCTTTGTTTTTGACACAGTCTCCCTATGCAGCTCTCCTGCCTCAGCCTCCAGAATATTGGGATCATCGAATAAAAGTTGACAATTGATCTCTATAAACCAGGCTGGCCTCAAACTCAAGAGATCCACCTGCTTCTGCCTCTGGTGCACCACCACCACCTGGTTTGAGACTAAATTTATTTTTTTAAGTAGACCTGCCATTGAGAAACGTGATTTTCAGTGTATATTTCTGCACTCCCATGTGTCAAACTGCATGGGATGTTTCATTCTTATGAAAATAAGTTCATTCTCCAAGATGAATAATTATTTGGGTTGAAAAATGGGGTGGGAAAGAAGTGCACACCTTTAATCCCAGCACTTGGGAGACAGGCTGTGAGTTTGAGATGAGTCTGGTACCTAAATTGAGTTCTAGGATGGCCAAGTCTCAAAAAAACTAAAAGTAAAATCAGTGGTAGAGAGATGTCCCAGCAGTTGAGAACATTGGCTATTGGAACTGGAAAGATGGCTCAGTGGTTAAGAGCACTGGCTGTCCTTCAGAGGACCTGGATTCAATTCCCGGCACACACATGGCTGCTCTCCACTGTAACTCAAGTTTCAGGGAATCTGACTTCCTTGCACAGGCAAACATGCAAGCAAAACACCAATCAGTTCTCATAAAAGTAAATTTTTAAAAATGGGGTACCTTTTCATGGGGTTCACAGGATAAACTAAGCTGCCTCCTTCATTAAGGTTGAGGAGTTAGTATTACTCCTACTTGAAACCAAAGAAACTTGGTGATTTGTTGTGTGAACTGGTGAGTGTTAAGGACATCAATAACCATGAACGTTTGTACACAGGGCACTTTTGTTACTTAAAAATGTTTTTTATTTTGTCGTTTTGTGTCTCACTGCTACTCCAGCTGGCCTTGAACTCAGAGATCTGCCTACCTCTGCCTCCCCAGCATAGAATTAAAGATGTGGGCTACTTTGCCCAACTCTAAACAGGCTTTAATCTGACTCCAGCTAATTCAGAGAGAGGTTAATGCAGAATGCTTATGAGTTCAAGGTCTGCCTGGTGTATTTAGCAAGACCCTATCTCAAAATTTAAAAGGACTGCACGTGGGCAATGACACGCACCTTTAATCCCAGCACTCTGGAGGCAGAGGCAGGTGGTTCTCTCTTTAAATCCAATCTGGTCTACAAAAAGTTCCAGGACAATCAGGGCTGTTAATATGGAGAAACCCTGTCGATAGATAGATAGATAGATAGATAGATAGATAGATAGATAGATAGAT